CCTCTCTGACTTTGGACTGTCAAACATTGCTCTTCGTATCTCCTCACAAAACGAGACTGATTACGAGTCAGAGAAACTCAGTCTCTTGTCTAATGGTCTCGTTATGTGTATAGTTTCTATGAAAGCTACCCAGCCATCAAATTATATCTATGCTCTCTCTATGCATACGTTTCTGCTTTTAATGAGCGCAGTCACCCTCTTCCCCTGGCTCTGACTTCAATGCAAATCGAAGTAAAATGTGAATATTGAATATCATTGTGAGTCCATGGAGACATGCTGGCTTCATGGATGAGTAAAACTGACAAAACAGAAGAAGCTGTCAGAGGACTGTATGACTTCAAGGCAGATTTAGAGTTTAGGAGTGGTTCAGGCTGAAATCCCTCCTGGCTAAGATAAAGTGGAGAGACAAACCAAAGCGTGCTGTATAGCCCACGCTTTGTGTGTATAAAGATTTTTTAAAAGAAAAGAAAGAGAGAGAGCTAGAGAGAGAGAGAGAGAGAATTGACTGAGGAGGAAGACTGTTCCCCGAGACTCCCCCAGACAGCGGCTGAGGGACAAAACCAACAAGGAGTGCACGCTGGGCGCATGCTAAACTAACACAAGCTATGATAGCGGCTCAATGGGACCACAGACGTGCCATCCAGGCCAAACACACACACAAACACACACAAACACACACACACACACACACACACACACACACACACACACACACACACACACATGGTTGGATATTTTGAGGCAGACAGGCTAGGTGAGGACTCTGGGTGTCTGAGGACAGGTGCACAGATAGTGGGAAGTGAGTCCTGAATCCAGGCTTTTGTCTGTGCGTGTGTGTGTGTGTGTGTGTGTGTGTGTGTGTGTGTGTGTGTGTGTGTGTGTGCGTGCGTGTGTGTGTGTTGCCACAGCATCGTGGCGGTGCCTCAGTCAGTCAGTAGGCCTGTGTTGAGGGATTAACAGTATGGCCTGCTTGGGCTTGGGGTAATCTCTCCTCTCTTCTTACATAACACTGGGCCATTAGTCAGCACAAACACACAATAAACAACACAATCAACAACACCGAGCGGACCACATAGAGACAGAAAACATTGCAAACTGGAGATGCAGTCGGCCAGGTGTCCACCATTGTGTTCAATAAGTGATTTCATGACAACAATGGAAAGCAGTGAAAATGTGTGCTGACCCGCTGTTCATGACTGAGGATGAAGCTACTGGTTTCCAAACAGGCTCCCTCATTAACCAGTGGAAAGTGTGACGGTTTTAAAACCGATTTTAACCCTTTATTCTTTGTGTTCTTGCACAACTTTTGGTAATACAGGTACTTAAAAAAGATTAAATTATTATGACTTTAATCGTGGGCCAAAACATTGTTACACAGTATTTGTCTCTCTGAACTGCTGACTTGTCCTCACTTGACTTGAATCCCCTTATTGAGTATTACGAACACAAATGGGTTTTATAGCACATTCACTATAAAGGAGACATTATAAGCACTTTGATTAATTCATTTCATACACTTCACTACGATGCAGAATTTATAAGTGCTATAATACAATGTACACATTTTATTATAGCCACCACACAGAAATGTAGAATTTAAAATCCTATATCAACATTTCAGAAAGGGTTAACACAACACTAAAATAAAGTTGTAGACAGATGAAGAAATTTGTTTATGGATTTAAAGTGTTTGTCAAGAACTTTACCAAAATTTGAGTATATATTTTATATTGTTATAACTGTGTTTGAGTGTCTTACTGGTGCCAAGTTTACGTGTGGCAAATGTTTTAGTCAGTGTTATTTGATAAAAACATAATGAAATGTTCCTGTACATTTTTACAAGCAAAATAATTTCATACATATGATAACAAATAATAGGGAATAACATTACAGCAGAAAAAGTGAATAAAAACAGTTCCTAACATTAGAGGTTAAGTGAAGCCTTCCAGTTATGTGCCATAGATTTATCTAAACAGACTGCTTCCGTTGGCTTCGACTAAAAATTGATCCCGGGATGCTTTAGAATCGGACAAATCAATGCTCACACATGCCTCCAGAGCAATGCAGGATGGGACTAATTCTATTGGCATGAGGCCGTCATGCGTAGTGTTGCAGCTGTTTGTGAAGATGTGTAGTTGTATTTGTGTTTTTGATGCTTTATGTGTACGTATAAGAGTAAATGTCCCAGGTTATACAAATGATGTTATAACTGTTATAGTCACTCCTTGTGTCCTTTCCCTTTGACACCCGTTTCATGTTCTTACTGGTCTGCCTCCCAGTTTCTGTCACCCTACCTCCTCTCTCTGTAAAGGAAGAAGCAGGGAGCTTGTGAGTGACACATATCGCTAACCGAGGAGATCAAATGGCACCGTGAACCCTTCGTCCCCTGTTGTTCCCTCCATCGCTGAACTCTTTGACCTGTCTGACCCGGGTTCATCTACAGAGGCTTACACCCGGCTTAGACCTACAGGCTGAAATCTGGGTATTGGCACTCTGCTCACATTTTTCATAACACAATTCAATATTTGATTTCAGGTTGTTAATTGCTTAGATTCCCAAAAGTGTTTAAACCAACTGTTTCTTTATTTTAGCCAAATGCTCATGACAAATTTTGATTATTTTTTTTATCTGAGAAGATTCAGTAATACAGTAATTCAAGTAAGTTAACAAGTAAAAACTAAAACAGACTACGCCCCTGACTTTACTCGTGTTTTGTGTATATTTATTTTATGTCCATTCAGAATTGTTTGTTATTTTACTTGAAGATAAACCTCTTCCCTCACCTGAACTTTTCCACTTCAAAATAGCACAATAATAAAAGTGATGTTAGTTTATTACATAACTTCTTTATTGAGTTGAATTATTCACCTAAAAGCATCATGATGTTGCCTTTGAAAAAACAGCTATTATAACAATCCTGTTCACAACAACCTTCACATCACTAGATCATATTCAGTGGAAAAAGAAGGTCCTGAATATTGCTTTATTTATTGAGCTGCAGAAAAGGCCCTGATGAGATGTTTGTGTCTGTTATTTCTCCGGCCATGCGATGGGGTGACATCATCTTCAGTCAGGGCTTCAGGAGTTGTGGCTATTGTCAAATGATAATTACCACGGCTCATGAGGGGCCTCTATTTTTTATAACCTTGTGGTTGTGAACGCATTTCTGTGTAAGGGCAGCCGAGACTCCACACACACACACTCACACACACAGGTTGAGAGTGGGGGCCGCACGGCCCACACTGATTTAATTCTATCTGACAAAACCCTTTGGGGCGTGCAGAGGGAGAGAGGAAGATGGGGAGAGAGAGAGAGAGGGAGAAACGAGGAGAACGAGGGGTGAGAGAGACGCTTCAGGGGCCTCTTCTGCCGACCACGGCTGTAAAGTGAAAGCAGAAGCTTTTCCGTAAACCCCTAAAAACATCCCATGCACGAGAGTGGTCGCGAGGCCCATTAAAATGTGGATAAAATACTAGGTGGATGACTGAGGAGTCTGATAGAGAGAGAGGGGGGGGGGTGTTTGGCCTCATGTTTTTTTCCTGCAGGTTTGATGGCCTGAAGCTGAGGCTAGAGAAAGCTTTATATGACACACAAAAACCATAGCAGGAAGATAGATTGATAGATTGATAGATTGATAGATAGATAATTTACTCTGATCATTAGGCTGTATCACTGGTAGATTTATTCTTGTCAATATCATTATAAAAAGTGGGTTTTTTTTCAGATATAATCAGTTAAATTAAAATGACTGTCACATTGATATTTTGCTATACAATTAAATTTTGTTCATTAAAGTTACATTTTAAAATCATTCTGTGTTTAATTTATGAGTAGATTTATTGTAGTTTGGTAACTTTTGAGTTTTACCCAATTAATAGTGCCAACGTTGTACACTTTTTATGTGTGGACCAAAGTTTACCAACATGTTCATTTGCTATTCAGAATTAAAGTCGGAGAATTGAGACATCTTTGGAAATGAGCATTAATTGTTGGAAATGTCAAATAGCAGCGCGAGGTTCCGCCACTTACAAACACATTGACTTATTAATTGGAGTTAATATCATCCAGTTGAACGAGTGTTGCAACTTTGCGTCAGCAATAATTGCACAACATGGAGAACAGTAAATAAAAAGGCTACAAATAGCCGAAACTCAGAGCTAAAATTACAACATTAAATATCAGAGTTTTACTGATATATTTTTGAGCAGAAATACTGAAAAAGGAGGAACAGAAATCGACTTTTTTAAATTTAAAATGGATTTTAACAGATGTGCAAGGACAGGTTTTAAATAGTAAGAGTGGATAAAGCTGCGTTAACCTGTCTGTGTGTATGTGTGTACGAAAGTGTTTATGTGTGTGTGTGTGTGTGTACATGTGTGTAAAAGAAAAAGACACACACACACACACGCACGCACAGTGTGCACGCGGACAACTTTGACGCTGAATTTGAACATCCACGGCGCGGTGCACAGCGTTACGGAAATGGGTTAGTGGAGCGCGTGAAATTATTGCTCACACACTCAAAAAACGTATCACAGGAACACACAAAAAATAAAGTTATTTTCCTCTTCATCACCTCATTTGATCTGATCTGAGGTCAGTCTATTCGTTATTTTCGTCTGTGCGGAGCTGAGCTCAAATGATTAAAAGCTTTAGTCAAACATCATGCGCCACTTTTAATTTGCAATCACAGACTCCAGTGGCTTTGTGCATGAACTTTCACAACTGTAGGCCTAAACACACAAACACACACACTCAGATTCAAACACACACGCAGGAGGTATCCAGACAAACTTTTACGCAAAAATCCAACCACTCGCCCTTTTCTCAGCTGTAAGAAAGCGACTGAAACAGCGTTGTAACTAAAACTCCCAGGATAAACTTTCAAGGCCAAATGTGGGATGAAGCCTGTCGCTTGTGTATTTGAGTGAGTGTGAGTGCTCAGCGGGATGGATCTTAGGGAAAGTGTGGTGGTGACCGGAGCAGTGGTATGGTCTTACCTCGCATGATGTTGGCGTTGCTTGAGCTGGTGCTGAGGCTCGCTTCCCAAAGCAGCAGTCATGAAGATATAAACATAAACACTTAAAACGGGGTGGGGGATGCTGGGGCTGGGAAGATCCTCGGTTAAAAATAATAACAATAACGAAAAGAGTGCAGATGATCGGCGTCGACGTCCACTGGCTGCCCTGAGCGGAGGCGTCTGTGCGCTAAAAGCATCCCAGAGCGGGGCGCGTGGAAGCGGGCTGAGGTTGGACGGTGCGTCGGTCTGTGCGCTCTGGTCGTGTGGTCGCGTTTCTCATGACATCTGCGCTCTCACCTCTGTGGGAGGGTTTCACTGTTTTCTGCGGGCTGAGGGAGGGAAGAACGTATTGGAGAGGCTTTACCCGGCGGCCCGGATTGGACTGAAGCACTTTCTGCTCCTCCCACTCTCTCCTGCTCAGCCTCCAGCCCGGAGCCTGCACACACACACACACACACACACACACACACACACACGCACACACGCACACACACACACACACGCACACACACACACACACACACACGCACACACACACAGAGCTTCAGCGCACTCTGCCGCCACAGCACACAGACACAGTCAGTGCAAAGTTTTATTGTCAGCTTCTACATTCAGTCAGCTTCATGCGTTTTAGGCTATTTTCATACACAAAATAAAATAGTCCGTCTTTAATCCGCTCTCTCATCCAAGAGGCAGCTGAAGTCTGACAGTCTGCCCAGTGGGGAGAGATTATTTATTAGACTGATTTTTTAAATATTCTTGTTTCCTATTAGTTTCACCTTACAAAACGCTCCGTGTATATTATAAACAAGGATCTTACAGATCAGTTGACTAAACAGTGTTTAATCAAATGTTATATTCAGGAGATGATTAGTTTCTTCGTGAAAACAAGCTTCAAAAAACTGTATTCTTTGAGTTTGTCTCTCTTCTGGGTTGCAGAAGGTGAGGCTTAGTGACAAAATGCAGAAAAAATGCTGAAATAGGAGACTTCCGATTGATACAAAAAAATAATAATAATGTGACAGCACAGGAGAGAGTGATTCAGACCTTTTAACTGGTAAAACTGATTTCCCCATGAACTCATCATAGAGCTAATACACATAGCCTATTTAAGCTCATATGTAGGCCTGCAAACTTAAAATATTTTGTGTGTGTAAATAGTGCATTGTAGTATACACAGCACAATCCTTTGTCAACGTAACAATTGATTATTGAATGCTGATGTTGGCTCAACACTGATTATTATAGAGCGGAATGCATGAATTTAAAGCAATACCAGCATTCTCCACATTTGTCCTGTATGGGTTATATGTTCAGGATATGAGTGCTAATAGATCTTATGTCACAGAAAGAAGAGCAGCTCAGGTGACTCGGCTTGTCTCAGGTGACCAAAGGATGCTTTTTGGGGCGGGGCCCTCTCATTCCTCTGAGAAACACTGAAATACTGACCTTCAAAATGAAAGAGTGGGTTTATGTTGGACCACTGTACTTTACAATAAGTGACCCAGTGAGGGCTGCAGGATGTTCACATAGAGTCTAAACTTCCACCTGCTATACATGAGGAAGATACTTTGTTACGGTTCATTTTTATTTCATATACTTAATTTTCTTGTAGTGTTTTATTTCCTTGTTAATTATTTAGCACCAATACACCAAGTCAAATTCCTTGTATGTGTAAATGTACTTGGCAATAAAACCCGATTCTGATTCTGATTGTAGTATAGCCAAGTACCATTTATCGTCATTCAAAGGTAAATGTGTGTATAGCTTAAAAAAGATACAGTGCCCTGCAAATCTAGTATCCCAAATGTAAAAACACTTCTTGAAGAACCCCAAAAATGCCAAAACAAGTTAACATCCTTACAGAGCAAAAAACATGGCATTTTTAAAGACTGGACGTTCAGTTGTTAAGTCTACTTGCAGTCTATTACTTCGCCTTCTGTGGGAAGTCATAGTAAGATGTAGATATTCAAATAAAGGATATAATTTTATTCTGCGCACAACATGTCTGAACAGCCTTATAGCACAGTTGTTTTTTATAAGGTTAAACAGACAACTTAGCCTCTATTTCACAGTGTTTCTGTCTTTATCATTACAGTGTCCTACTGTTTTTAACCACTTACTGACTGAGCAAAAAGGTATACCCCTACCAGTGACCCAGACTTGACCTATGCTGATCTCTGCCACTCTGTATGGTGAATACAAGTATAATGCTAAAACTGATCACATCATGAGTTTGCAGAAGTCAGTGCTGGTCCTCACATTGAGGTAAAGACCCTCTCCTGTAGCACACAGCTGGTGTACCACCCATCGTTCAGCGTCTGTCAGTAAAACCGTTTTCTGAGAGAGAAACATTGTCAGAGCATCTGAGCGAAGAAGAGGAGAGGGGCAGGTGTGGACGAGAGGCACTTTCACCCCCGGTCTCTTTTAGCCTCTTTAGCTGTGGCCCAGGGAGGGAGAGACACAGAGAGAAACAGAGAGAGAAACTGCCCCAAGCACATCTCCACTGACCTACATTTCATCTGTCGCTTTTTTCCACTCTTTCTTTCCCCCCCCTATCTCTTATTTCTCCTCTACCAAGAGCTCCATAATTGTGATGTAATGACCAAAGCAAGCGTGATAAAATCCCAGACTGGTCAGGTTGAAGAAATGCTTCTTGGAGATGGGCAGACAGAAGAAAAGAGGAGACAGTGAAAGACAGACAGGGAGGGGGTTAAAATGAAAGAGGAGGGGTAGTTAGCTCTTCAAAATACAATCAAAGCTCAATTTCATTTTGTCAAAGCAGTAAAATGTGTCCTTATGTGATCTGTATGCTGCGTGGACTTCAATCCATCTGTGGGCTGGGGACTATATTAAGACGGATTACCCCTCATTTCCAACTAGTCACTGTTCTCCCAGAGCCTCAGAGATATAAGAAATTACTTTAAACATGACCAAATATGTGCATCGTCTGTCAGGCGAGGGAAAAATGGGAGAAGATGGAGGCTGTGTTTGATGAAATATACTGCAGTGTAGTCTGCTCCGTCCATATGGTGGTAAGAGGGAGGAAGGGAGCAGGAGAAGCAGACCGGGCCATGCCTGAGGGCCGCTGAACTTGGAGAAGGAGAAGCAGCACTCCGGCCGAGATGGGATCTTAGGTCCTTCTGCCTTTATGTTTCACTGTCTGTTCCTGTTGGCTGCTTCATCTCCTGCTACGTCTCTGTGTGTCTTTTTGTCCACCTGTCAGACTGACAGCCCTTGAAGGTTGCCAAGTTTATTCTGATTGTCTTCACTTCTGTTATTTGTCATTCTTTTTTCACTTTATTTTGATGTTTCTTTCTAACTTCCTTACTTCCCTCTTTTCTTTTTTGTCGTGCTGGTGGCGTAGCTGTAGGGATGGTAATGTCGATCTGTTGGCCCTTTCACCTCTTTGGTCCAGTCTGAAATACATCAACAGCTGTTGGATGGATTGCCATGAAAATTGGCACAGCCATTCATTGTGCCCAGAGGATGAATCTTAATGACTTTGGTTATCTCATAACATTTTCACGAGCACCACCATGATGTTGGACTCAGTGTATCATGCTGCCTTACAATTTGTCTCTTGTCTGACTTTCCGCACACATCATTGGGTCTTATATGAGATCATATCTTTGTCTTTCCTTTTCAACAGAAAGATGGATCAATGGTATATTATATACTGACTCCTAAAGCTCTCAGTATACCTGTAACCTTCAGTCTCATGGGAACATAATGTATGTCATTCCACAAACTGATTCTGTCTTTGGTAAAATTGCATTTAATGTTTTAGCTCTAACATCAAAAAAATGTTATAAGCTTTGAAGATTTTAAAATCAGGATAAAGGATAATTTATCCAATTGTCTTAAAGGTGCACTATGTAGATTCGGTAGTAAAATGTGAACGTTTGTAGAAGTGAAACAATTCGGAAAAAATGGGTCCCTGGAACAGGGAGTTGAAAAGCTACCAGGAGAGTTACAGTTTGTCTGTTGGGGGCCAACCACCACAACTCCCCGCATAGTATTTTATCTTCAAACAGTGTGACAGGGAGCAAATGTTCCTCTGAGGACAGTTTGTGTATAGAGTTATGAACATATACCACAGAATCTGTACACTTCTCCAACTTTCACATTTCTCTACCAAAACTCCATAGTGCACCTTTAATACTAAATGCTGAAAATATATCGCCTGTCTGTCTGTTTTCTGTTTTTTGCTTGCAATTTTACGCTACTCTCTTTGGCAGGATCCCGTGTAAAGAGAGATTATCTCAATGGGAAGATTCCTGGTAAAAAAAAAAGTAAAAAACTGTTGTTGGTTCTGGTTAAGAAAAAGAAAGCTTGTATATTTAATTTACTGATATGCTATGAATTGAAGATTTACTTGAAGACTGCATCTCCCGAAATCATCTTGAAACAGTCATCTATAGTGACAGGACACATCACTCCGTTGAAGGTGTCATATAAAAAAAATGAACACTGGAGTCATGCTTCATTTGCTCCAGAAACAGACACACTCTTGTGAAAAACACTTTAACCACACAATATTGTTATTTTGACCTGCCTTTAAGTTATTATCGGAATTACCATTAAGTAATGGTAACATAATGGGAAATACTGCCAGAGACAATTGTTGCAGGTAAAATTGATGCTCTTATCATGACAACTTGAATATTTCATGCATTGCTATTGATTTTTCGTATAGCTATCTGCTATCTTCATAAATAAATGCATTTAGTATATCCACATTTTGATTCACATTCACACACCCTTATTCTTGCTGACATGTAAAGTAAAACACTTGGAGAGTCAAGCCAGGCTTCGGTAAAGAAAACGTTGCAAATTGTCATCTCACTGCCTGCTGTGAAAAAGTGTTCCACCAGCAGACACTTCACACTTTCACTACAGTTACCCCCTATAGAGCAGACGATCTGATTAGTGTTCAAAGTACCTTACTGCATTAATCTGCATCATACAAGTGAAAATGACAGGACATAAGTAAATAAAACCCCATAATCTATGTGGGTTGAGTATGAATGAACGCACTCAAACAAGTGAATTCAAATTATTTTCATATATGATTTTTAGATAATAAAGTATTAAAAACTACAATCTAATCAGAGCAAATGAGAGCAGAACTACAACCAAGTTTCCTAATTATAGCAAGTTGCAAAGTATACCCTCGCACATCACACACATATGAACATCGACAGTTTCTCAACAAAAAGAAAACACAATGGTTATGCTACTATTGTGTGTGAACAGTGCAGAGGAGAGAGATGAGTGTGTGTTGAAGTGAGAGGAAAAACAACCA